TCTCGAGTTTCCTTCTCCTCGACTCCTTTATCACGAGATCTCCCGCCTTAGGTCACCAACACCTTACACTTTCCCCTCCAAACTGTGTATATCGCGATTCTTAGTACAAGGTTATTAAAAGTCTCTTATCCAAAGGCATCGCTTCACAAGAGAGATAGAATTAACCTTCACTCAACGGCCCTATTCCACTTTCATTTCATTTGCAACAAGGAAATCGAAAGATAGCTGCATGGCACTTTGAGTTAAAAAATATTCAATTTTCTCAAATTTCAGTATTTCATCGCAATTTCACAAATTTTGAATTAACGTTTAGTTAACCGTTTTTCACGTCTCTATCGTATAAAATAATATATAATTCACACTTTAATAATTAATATAAATATATTTGACATTTATATTATTGTTCATTTATGTACGAATGTAAAAAAAATGTTTTATTAAGTGAAAATAATTGTAAAGCCTCGTTACCATCGCGTCGCAGTTTGGCTGTGTTTGATAAGGCCATGTTTGTTAAAGTTCCGACACTGTTGACAACGTTAACGCGTTTCAACGTTACGGTGGGGCACCGAAATGCGGGAATTTCGGTTCGCCCGCAATCTCTCGAGGGCTTCCTTCCGGCGCCGCGCGCGTCTTTATCCTGAAGATCTCCCGCCCTCGGCTGGCCGACACCTTGCGGCACCTCTCGTTATACGCTCGTAGACGAATGCCACGCGCGCCGAGTCTGGGACCCGTTCCGTTCCGTTCCATACGAGGGGTAGAACCCCGCAGGAGATGGATATCGCTAATTGTATTAAGGTGGAGGGGTCCGTAGTAGCACGCGACCGTTGTGTTCTGTCTTCTCTCCCTTCCCCTTATGATTCGCATCATTCCTCGTTGTTGGCGTATACGATTCCTCGATAGAGTGTCACGAATCAGTCACAAATCAATGTCGATCAATATTACGGGATATTGCTCGAACTACTATTTCAACGATAGGCAATCAAAAATCGTAAAAACTGATATAGACTATAAATGCAATCCTTATTAAGATTGAATTTCAATCTTATATATGGAATATATATATATATATCATTTATAACTTCGAAAATCGAAGTTATAAATGATACGATTTATAAACACGATCTGTATTTTCTGTCAAATGCAACGCTCTATACACACTTACTTTCCTTCTGTATGTCAGTCATACATGTTATCTTGACAATTTATGGAATTTATAAAATCGATCCTATCAACACATTCTGTCTTTTCAATCGTTAGGTAACGAGAATCTGACAAAATGATTTTAAAAAAATCGATTCAACTCGATATGAAATAATAATTCAAAGTTTGATAGAAGAAGTAGCGATACAAAATAATCAGTATTTTTAAAAGAATCCTAATCAAGTATAATTTCTGCGAAACTAATCATGCAAAAGCGCACAGACTTTGTACATTATTTTGCATAATTACTTCAATGTATTCTTAAAATAATAAAAAAATCCTAATATATATGTATACCGGAATAAATTTGTGCAGCGTCGAGTAATTTAAATGTGAATAATTTAAATGTGTTTAGAAAAAAAATTTCAATTTCACCCTACAATTTCAAACTGCTAATTTTAAACTTGCGCCTGTATTTCAGATTACAGACGACGGAAAACCACATTCGCGAGGCTCATAAATGTTTGGTTTCCTCTCTCAGTCGCGTTACGTCTTCGTTGTTCTTTTGATGCTACCTATACAAAAATGCGACGATATAATATGGCGCATACAGTTATTACACGTGGTTTCTATTGTGAAAGCATCTGTCGTTCCGCCGTCGGTCGTCGTGACGATCCGAGCGCCAAGCAGGGAAGAAAGACGGGAAATCGGAAATTGAAAATTAATTTCCGCACCGCCACCACCGCCATCGCGATCGGTTCGTTGTCCGATCAGCGCCGCGAAATTCGGAAATATCACCGCGATATTGTAATGGACTCATTGCCCGCGTAAGTTTTCAACAAGTTATCGTACAAGCTCATTCAGCGAATCAGCGTAAACA